GGCCACGTCTGTTGGGGCATACGCAGCCACGAAGGTCACCGCTCCGCGGTGGCCCATCATCTCAAACCTCATAGCCATGAGGCGCTCGTCCACGTACTCCGTGGTGTACTGGGAGGATTTGCACAGCGTCTCCTCCACAGCGATTCCGACGCCATGCGTACCACCCTTGTCCGTGCCACAGGTGAACACCCGAAAACCGGATGCTGCGAACTCCGTTCGCCCTGGTCTCCTGACCTCCTGCAGACCGACAAACGAAATGCCCTGTTTCGCTGCCTCGTGTAAGACGCTGTCGGCTCTCCCATAGCCGTTGGCCCCGTAGAGTGGAAGTCAACAATTCAACCAGAAGTTGATGTGCATCATCTGTCATCTGTCGATAGTCGATACAGCAGTAGTACGGGCAGAAATAGATTGTGCATGAAGTTGGAGTAGAACTGCCGTGCTTTGATCAGTGTGCAGAGTCCAGCGAATACCTTTCGGGATCCCGTGTCGCATTGGTCATGTTGGTGTTGTTTGATGTCGGGATAGAAAAATGTCCGTTGATTTGGTTTTACAGCAGTGCGTAAAGAAATTTGAAAAACAACACATTCCGTCAAAACCTTCCCAGCAGGGATGACTTACAGAGAGACGCAAGACGGCTACCACCCTGTCTTGTTGACCCTGTTACCCACAGGGGAGGTATCGCTGTGAGGTGCTCGGGAAATCGTGGAAATACAGGTAGCTTCCGCTGACGCCATGCATTCATTGCTAATCTACCCTAGACTTTTTTATAGATAAAGATGGAACCAATCTTTGTGTCAGAAAAACACACGCACATAGGTTAGTCTCCCCCATGCCGCTCTCCCAGTCAATGGCATTAAGTGTGTTGCGTTTTCAACCGCACTGAGACTCACGTCTTTTCATTGGTCAGCCGGTTGGCGCGGTCGATGCTTACAATAAAAACACACACACAAGTGAATCAAAAGCCAGGATCCGCCCTCGAAGATCGAGCTGCAAGTAAGGTAAGTCACTATGCGGGACCTTTCAACCCGTCTACATCTCCTCCTTACTGCTGCTTTTTCATCGTACGGTGGCCTTGGCAAAGGCACAAATCGACTTATTGTAGCTTTCGCCAACCACTTGGCATGTGAAGCCTTTTCGCAAAGGAAATTTCGACGACGAAACAGCTTTGCTTCGCCTAAGGCTTTTCACACCAAAAGGATTCGGAGACGGTTCACCTTCGAGCTAGCTCGTTTTCTGTCCGTACGAACTCTTGATGTTTTCAAGCGTCATAGACTACCTCTTGATCAATTTCCACCACGACCAATAGGTTGGATCTCGGTAGTAGTGCAGAAAGAAACGACCAGGATGGCAATGAGAGGGGTTCGTTTGGCAGCGATGAAGGAGGAGAGGGAACGGGAGGAGGACAAGATAGAGACCAAAACAGCAGTCGAGGAGGGCATCATGGCGTGGAAGAGAGCAAAAGCTTCGAGCCAAATGACCTTCCCCACCACAAACGACGCAGGGCCAGAGGCGAAATGTCGAGATGTTGCTGTGAATCGACCATGAGAACGATGAGAACGATGAGAACGATGAGA